ATAAATACCATGAGCTATAAAGTCATTGTCCACTTACACAAAGAGCCCAGAATCTACACAAGGAGATGCCACATTCTAGCTCACTATACGGTGTAAAGATTGACACTTTCAAGTATCCATGAAAAATAATGCAAAAATAATGACTTTAATTCACCTCTGTATCAAGAAAGGAATTCCTGGGTGGGGGGAAAGTGTTAGGTGCTAAATCAACAGCTGAAAGGTTGGCAGTTTGAACCTGTCCTGAGGTGTCTGGGAAGATAGGCCTGATGATCTGCTTCTGAAAGGTCACAGCCTCGAAACCCCCGTGGAGCAGTTGCACTCTGCACCCATGGGGTCATCAAGAGTCAGAATCTACTAACAACAACTAACACCAACAAGGGGGAAAGATCCTGCTCCTTGCCTCACCCTAAGGAGTTCTGATGCTGCAGTGGTTAAGGCACATAGCTGTGAACCGATAAGCCAGCAGTTCAAACCCACCAGCAGCTCCACGGGAGAAAAATGAGCCAGTCTGTTTCCATAAAGATTTACAGCCTTGAAAACCCCATCGGGGTCACTATAAGTCAGAATCGACTCAGTGACACTGAGTTTGGTTTGGCGTTTTGCCTCTCTCTGATTTAAACTGGCAGAAAAGTTGATGCAAGTGCTGGCAGCCTGTGCATATTGCCAACTCAAACAGCTCCCTAAGAATGGCACAGAGAAAGGACATGCTCAATCAGGAGGTGTGATGACAATCCCATTCTCAGAAGAAGGCCCTGGGAGTTGTCAGGCCATCCTTAAGGAATGCTAGTTGGGTTGATGGTCTCTACGCTTTCAGGAGGTTCTCAGTATTTGCTGACTGTTGCATTCATTTGGATGGAATGAGTGCACACCAACATCCTCCACATGAAAACGTATTTACTACCTACCTCTGTGGGGCCCTATGATATGTTGTAATGCAGAGCAAACAGGTTTTCTGCAACTTGGAAATCTGTGACTATGACCTAGAACACTGATATAGACAGATATGAATGGAATACGGTCAGCTGAACAAATATTAAAGAAGTCCATAGATTAATAAAAAATATTAACATTTAGTACAAGTAGAGTGAGTACATAACTTTAACTGGGAATGTTGGCAGGAAGCCTTGAGGAGCGGATGCTCAGATTGGATAAGGCTATAGAGAATTCACGACTTTTTCCTAATTAACCTTCACGCAATGCAGCAGAATGATAAAATAAATCTGGCCTTCCCACACTTATTTGGAACCTGCTTTGGAAATTTCCCCAGAAAGTCAAGGTCTTGGGACCATTTTTAAGACCTGTTAATTACTCATTACAGGCTAAAGGCAAAATCTCCAGCAAATCTAGACCCTTTTCAAATGAGGGGAATAAAACTAATTTCCTTCCTTTGCTTCCACAAAGGAATTAATAAGAAATAATAGTATTAGTAGAACACTCTACAATGGAGGCAGCACTTTTTCCCCTGCCTGTCTCTTTTGGACCTCGCAATGGCCTTGGTGAAGAGGGCATTGTTGTCGTTGTCAGGTGCTGTCCAACTGGTTCCAACGCACAGCAGAACAAACCACTGCCTGGTCCTGCACCAGCCTCATGATCACTGCTGTGCCTGAGCCCATTTCTTGCAGCCACAGGGTCTGTCCTCCTCACTGAGGGTCTTCGCCCTTTGCACTGACCCTCTGCTTTACCGAGCATGATGTCCTTCCTTCTCCAGGGACCGGGCACAACTGAAAACATGACCAAAGTACAAGAGGTGAAGTCTTGCCATGCTTGCTTCTAAGGAACATCTGGTTATACTTCTTCAAAGACATATTTGTTTGTTCTTCTGGAAATCCATGGTATTTTCTATATTCTTCTCCAATACCACAATCTAAATGTGCCAATTCTTCTTCCGTCTTCCTTATTCATTATCCAGCTTTCACATGCATATGAGGCAATTGACAATACCATGACGTGGGTCTGGAGCTCTGGTGGCGTAGTGCCTAAGGCACTTGACTGCTAACCGGAAGGCTGGGGTTCAAACCCACCAGCCACTCCTCAGAAGGAAGGTTGGACAATCTACTTCGTAGTGACGCCACCTCGGAAACCCAAGGAGGGGTCAGGTGCACCTTCCTCTTCACAGTGACCTCTTCGCTCTCAGAAGTCTTCTGCAACAGATTTTCCCAGTGCAATGCATAGAGAAGTGAAGCGAATTTCCTGCATAATGGGGATACAAACGCTGCTAAATACTTCCCTGTGACATATTTTAAGATTAGAATTAGATAGCAGATAGCAAGTCCTTTGAAAATTTTATTATTAAAACATTTTGTAGGTAAGATACATCTGTCAATCAGCAAATAATTATCTAGTGCTAGTAGGTGGCAAGTCCAGTTCTATACACCTACACACAGAGTCATATAATCACCTCTGGCCTCAGCAAGTTTACAATCCATGTAAGAAGGCAACATTGTGAATATTCTCTGGGGATTTAGACCAATGAAGATTGATAAGGACTGGCCTGGTTGGAGAAGGCTCAATGAAGAGGAAATGCGTGTAAAATTGGGAAGGATGCCAGGGCAGAGTGAAAAAAAACAAGGGCAATTTGTGGGAGAAAAAGGGAGCCCATGGGAAAGCAAACCATCAACCATCTGCCATGAGGTGACTGATTCATGGTGACCCATGTGTATCAAAGCAGAACTGTGCTCCACAGGGTTTCCAATGGCTGTTCTTTCCGAAGTTAATCACCAGGCCTTTATTCCAAGCCACATCTGGGTAAACACGAACCTTCAATCTTTTGATTAGCAGACAAGTACATGAAGCATTTACACTACCCATGGGCTCAAATGGTGTCAGTGTATGTGGAAAGCAAAAGAGAAAAGTGGGACATTGGTCCACAGATACCTAGCATAGCTTTTAAATATATCCCACATCTCTTAAGAAGCAGTCAGTAAAGAAAAAGAATTTTCAAAGAACAAAGGTGGACCTCGATTAAGTAGTGAATTCCCCCAAATCTTATCAATTAGATAATTATTGCTTCTTCCTGGAAAGCAGAAGTTTCTTCCCCAAGGCATTAGAACTGTCTGCAAAGTTCCTAGGTTATGAGAGGAAGAAGCTCTAGTACTTATTTTATTCTATGAATAGGGCAACCATTGAAAATTTTTGAATAAGGGTATGAAAGCAGAGGTTAAAGAGCATTAAACTGGCTGTGGTGTGCGACATAGGTTAAAGTGGAGAGAGAATGATGTCAGCAAATATGACTAGATCTCAAGTATTATCCGGTTAAGGGATAATGAGGGCCCCTAGGGGAGTTTTCCATTAGAATGAGAAAAAGTCACATAAAAGATTAATTACACAGTTCAAATTCATAGGACTCAATGACTGATAAAATGAAAAGGAGAGGAAAATATAGAAGATTTTACTCAAAGTTTTAAATTTGGAAGAACTCCGAGGAAACATTACTATTGATGAATATAGAGATGAGCCTTTGTTGGTTACCATGGGTGAGAGGGGACGGGAGGGAACACTGAAAACATTAAAATAATAATAATAATAAATTAAAATAGAGATGTGCATCAGTGAGGTTGTAGTAGAAAAAAAGGATCTTTCCTGGTGGGGATATTACCCTTCCCTCATCTATCTGATATGAATGAGGAACAGCAGTTCCTTTTTATGCTCTATTGGAAAAGGGAACTCTACCTTAAAGACGATGGAAGGCAAATGCCCAAAGGTGTCAAGGTTTATGGCCACTGTTAACTTTCTAACACCTTGAAGTTGGCCTGGCCAGGTGTCAGGACATAAAGCTGACTGTGTGTGGATGTTAGGGAAAGAGGGATGACACAATCCTGATGCAGGGACAGGAACACCAAGCCACTGTTCTGCTACCCAGCGGGAGTATGCCTGGAGCCGGGACTCACCCAGCGGGAGCGCGCCTGGAGCCGGGACTCACCCAGCGGGAGCGCGCCTGGAGCCGGGACTCACCCAGCGGGAGCGCGCCTGGAGCCGGGACTCACCCAGCGGAAGCGCGCCTGGAGTCGGGACTCACCCAGCGGGAGTGTGTCTGGAGCCGGGACTTAGTACACAGAGTATTTCCATTTCTGCATCACTGTTACCTCATCACACATCAACCTAGCCTCCCAGTCTATACAGAGGAGAACAACGCAACTCACAAGAAGCAGGGAATAAGGACAAAGGTCTGAAAGGGTGTTGCAAGGGCTGTTGCACATTTTCTAGATTATGGTGCCCGTGGTTCAAATGAATACTAGCGTGGAGATGATGTGCACTGGGTTGGGTTTATTTCATTTCCCTTTCTAGGGAAGGAGGACGAGCAGTGAGTTGCATCCTGGTTTCCATATTCCAGCAGAGTTTTATCCGAGAGAAAAAAATACCTATTTTCCCTTGTATTCAATCTAGCCCTTGAATTTTTTCAGTCCTCATATCACTATGTAGGTTCCAGTTTTCTAAATAAAACATATAGGAAGAGGAGCTTGACACATTACAAGCTATTAACCTTATAAAGTGTGCTCCTTGATATTTATTTTGGTTAATTAAAAAAATATAATAAGCCTATGGGTTCGTGGCCTTGCTTAATATCTAGCCCAGCTGTTAGTTAAATCTGTAAATCTTGTCCTGCACCTGTAAATTTTGTCCCAAGAACACACGCAGAGGAAGGCACATGAATTGCATTGTGGGAGTTGTAGTCCTGGGTGACTTTCTTTTCTCCCAGCCCTTGACTCAGGGTTTGATTCCGGGATTGTTGAGCCCCAAAACTAAACCTAACCCACTGCCGTCAGGAGCTACCAATTAGCTGGGGCCATGTCAGTGAGGCCGTGGTCCAACCACGAAAGCCAGTGTGGTGAGTCTCGCACAACGATTGGCCAGTTGGTGACCCTGGGGGGCGGGGAAATGGGGCGGGCCGGGCGGCCGAGACGATTGGTTGGGAAGCCCTTGGAGGCGGGCGGGGATTGGCTGCGTGATGGGGTAGGGACGACTGGGAAGGGGCGGAGGAGGGAGGCCGGAGCAGGAAGAGCAGTGGTAAGGCGGCGTTAGCGGTGGCTGAGGCTGCGGTGGTGGCAGAGGCGAAGGCGACAGCTCCAAGGGGTGGCAGCGGCCCCGAGAGCAGGATGCGAGTCGGGGTCGGGCTGACGCTGCTGCTCTGTGCGGCGCTGCTGGGCTTGGCCTCGGCGTCCTCGGGTCAGTATCCGCCCTTTCGGGCTGGAGGCCCGGAGCCACCGCCCCCCCTCCCCCGGTCTCTATCTCTGCTGTGGGGGCTCCGAGCTGGAACTCAGCTTTCTCTCTGGTCACACCTCGCACGGCCTGTCACTCGCTCCTTCTTAGGGCTCCGGTTGGTCTGGGCCACAAAGGGTGTTCAGGGACCTGGAGTTGGGGCGGGGAGGGGAAGGGCGGGCGGTCAGCCTACTCACAGCTTCTGCACGTAATAAACTTCATACACGGCTCCTTCTCGAGAATGAAGAATCGACCCCAGGAGAATGATTCCCGACAGCTGGCCTGGCCCCACAGTGACACACGAGTCCTGACCCTCCTTATGTAGCTTACGTGCTGCATCGAGTCAGGAGCTCTGGATTTCTGATTTGTAGGCGAGGAAATTGGCATATTTGAGCTGTCACTTTGAGCAGAGCAGGGGCTATCAGGACGAGGATGTTGACAGGGGTTTGATAGATGAGTTTGCTTAGATGGCACCGGTCTCTTTTGTCTATTTAAAAATGAAGACGTTTGATGTAATTGTACCCACCACACCCATCCCCTTTTTAAAAATCTTCCCGGAAAAGTGATGTTTACCTCTGGCACGGTGTTTCTGAATCGCTCCATGTTTGTTTATAATGACTTTATGATTTTGAAAAAATCGTGGTCCCTACAAGTTCAGAATGAATAACAAATAGTTTCAGTTTTTTATGTAGCTATAAAAACTCATGTGCTTATATAGGGCTTTCCGATTAGCTATACTGTGGTTGTGAAAATGATTTTTTTAATGTTTTACTCTGTCTACTTCCGAAAACTTCTCTTTTCTGAGTGATAATAAAGGAACAATTAGTATGGTGAAGTTTAGGGATTTAAATCCGTTTCAGTTAAGAAAGCAGCTGTCCTGCAGCTTTAAATCTTTTTTGAAACAAAACAGGATATAAATAAGTCAGCTTTTTTTTTTTTCAACAGAAAATTTCCCAGATGGTTGCTTGAATCCCCAAATTATCTGTCCTAGTTGAAAGTCATTCTACTTCTAAAGTCATAAAGCCATTCTGCTTCTAAAATAAGAGGTTCTAACCTAAAAATCCTATTCCTGATGTGATTTGAGATACCATATGAAAAGTTACAAGCATATGTTAGTTACTTACTCCCAGCATCATGCCTTAGGTGCACCCCTTTCCCCATTTGTAGTGATGGTTTGCATTCATGACCAAGTCTTTAAATAATACATGTAACTCTCAACAATGAACTTTGATAATTATTTGATCAAAGGAAAGATGAAGTGAAGCTGTTGAGTTTAATGGGTAAAGGTACTTGGTGGCCCATGAACTGTGTGCATTAGAATCCTTCTGATGTGTTACACTAAAGTCTGAGAACTACTACTTAAAAAGTGTGGTTTATAGCCTCTTGAGTTCAGATTTCAGAATTTAAAGAAAATTAAAGCCTACATTTTCCTATGCCTCAGTTTGTTTAATATTCTGAAGATGATACTAAAGAAGAAATTTAGTCAACACTTGGGATTCTCAGGATGTTATAATAAGGTTTACTTACTTTGGACAAATAGAAGACTTGATACTTAAGTGTTACATCTCTGGGTTCTGTTAAAGTAAGCAGAGGATTCAAGAATTATCTGCTCTGGTTTTCATCATATTTAAAACTGTGCCAAAACATTTCTTTGGAAGAGGCAATAACCTTACTTAGTTAGAACTGAGATCATATGGATGTGCATGCTGACAGCTGGTAAAGGTGCACCGTGTGCCCTGCACTGGCTCAGGTATCGTAAAACACTTGTGTGTGATAAAGTTTTATAAGTTGAGTACATGGGTTTTGAGTTGGCCTCATTTCTAATGTTTAAAGCTTTATTAGTATATAAAAATCAATTTTATATGACTATTTAAAATTAACACCCAAAAAAATGATAATTTTGTGTTGTCCTAAAGTTTGAATGTTAGTGGTTACCTAGGGCCAGTTGCATTTATTATCAAGTAGAATCTGGTCAGCCAACAAAGGGGATCTTGATCTATCACAATTAATAGCTGATTGGTGACTGTCTTGTTTCAGAACCATGTAAAAATATGATACTTTTTTAGAAATGTTTTTTATGTGCATGAGTTAATTTAAAGGACATGAAACAGATGTTTCTCTTTTTGTCAAGGTAATAGTGCAAACTGCTATGATTTTTTTTTTTTTGGCTCAGATATTGGTTATTTTTTGGCAGGAAATGGCAAATGCTTTTCTTTTTCTTTGTTCCACTCAGTGTTAACATAGTCTTTTTAAATTCAATTAAATATTATAATTAATAATTATATTAATACCATAAATTTATAGAGTAACTTTCAAATTGCAGAGTATGTTTAATTTCAGTGTTTAGTTTCTTCACGTTACTATTTATCAACAAGACATATGGCATTGTCCGCTTTTGACAAATGGAGAAAATGGAGTGAGCAGCATACCGTGTCCGATTTTGTGTGTCAGAATGAATATGTAATGAAGCCAGGTCTCCGACCTAGCTCCCTCGGCCTGAGATTTGGGGTTATTTAAAATCAGGCGTGTCCTAGGGTGTGGATAGAATCAGTGCAGAGCAGAAGACAGGATATCTGGTCTCTTTTCACCAAACTGTTCAGAATTTTCTGTTTGAAGGAGTTACCAATCTGTTTCATTTGCATGACAAGTGGGAAAATTAATTTTTAACAATCACTTTTCCCTGAGCAAATGTCCCTGGTACTATACAGCTTTGTTAGCTGATATAATAAAAATGAAAATTGATCTTATTCAAAGGGAGATGAACAGTTAATAAAGTAGTCTAAACCTTTACATTTTGGATGTAATAGTGTTGAATCCATAGCCCTTTATTAAATTTTTTTTTTTTATTTCTCTTGTTGGATACCTGTGTTGTTATAAAAGCGTTGCCATTTGTTTTTGATTTATGCAGAACTTCACTGGCTTTAATCCTTACCTGATTATTGCAGTATCAGAAATTCTTCTTTGAAAGTGTTATGTAAATGGGTCTTTCAGTTTGAAAAAGAAAAGTAGCTTATGGTGTAAGAAGACCATCTGGAGTCAGCTTTCCCGGTTTAGTAAATATGAAAGAATTCTCTTATTCACCAGTAATCTTAGTATATATTCCTGGTTTGGGTAGAGAGAGGGAGAGAAAGAGAGAAGCATGATGCAATTCATGTGAAATAACCCTGATGTCTCAAGTTCCCATGGCTCTTAGAGTTCAGACACATATTTTGCTATTGGAATGTCTACCAACCTGTAGTGCCTCAAACTTACATGTCCTTAGATGTATTTATAGGTATCTGTATTATTTATGAGGAGTTCTGGTGGTGCAGTGGTTAAAGCCTTTGGCTGCTAACCAGAAGGTCGGTGGTTCAAACCTATCAGCTACTCGGTGGGAGAACAATGCGGGAGTCTGGTTTCCATAAAGATTTACGGTCTTGGAAACCCTATGAGGCAGTTCTACTCTGTTCTTTAGGGTCACTGTGAGTCGGAGTGGACTCAATGACAGTGCAGTGGTTAAAGCATTTGGGTGCTAACCACAAGGTTGGTGGTTCAAACCTATCAGCTACTCGGTGGGTGAAAGATGTGGCGGTCTGGCTTCCATAAAGATTTACGGTCTTGGAAACCCTATGAGGTAGTTCTCCTTTGTCCTTTAGGGTCACTGTGAGTTGGAATGGACTCAATAGCAGTAGGTTTGTTTTGTTTGGTATGTTACTTACACAGCTCTAGTTGTTCAGTGGTTAAATAGCTCGACTGCAAACTGAAAAGTCAATGGTTTGAACCCGTGAGGCGCTCCACAGGATAAAGATGAAGTAGTTTGCTTTCATAAAGGTTTGCAGTGATGAAAGCTATGGGGCAGTTCTACTCTGTCCAATAGGGTCATTAGGAATCAGAACTGACTCAACAGCAGTTGGTTTCCTTGGGATATTATTTACTTATTTACTACCTGTGTAACCTGTTGTTAAGAGGTATTGAATTTAATGATAAAAGTATTAGTGATCTCAGATTTCAACCTATTCTAAAGTTTTAGTATTCTGGGATGTGTCACATATTGATTAAGTAGTTAATATTTGCAATTAATTAAATATATCCACAAATACTACATTGATATATAATAGAAATGAAGAATTTTTTTCTTTATTCAAAAATTGGCTGAAACTGGAGATTTTGTTTTGTTTTTTGCTTAAATCTTCTATTTTGACTTGAGCCATACATTAGGTCTTAAAAAAATCAAAAATTACTGTGAAGGATAATTGTTAATTAATTGATATTACTACTTACATGTTATTGGCAGTATGAGACTAATACATGACATGTCCCTCCCTTCCCACCTGTCAAAACTGGAATGTCCTTTGAGGGTAATCTAAAAGTAGTGAATGGGAATAGCAGCTATAATTTAATTTCCTTGAATTGACAGTACTTCATATATGGCAAAACCTCACTCATGGACTGATTTTCTTAGATATTTAAAAAAAAAGTCCTGTGAAATATGGGTATTGTGTGGATAATAATTTGGTTGTACTCTTAATGTTAGCTAAGTACTTTGTTAATACCAATTCTAAAACATCATTTTGTTATAGGGTAGCAAAGTTATAAGTTATGAATAATATTTAAGGTATAACCATATGAAGCAAAGATAAATAACAACTGTAATACTAAATTTTCTAGTTGAAAACAAATGATGGTACAGCATTTTGTCTACTGGTTAACTTCTGATACAGTTTATGGAGTAGGCAATGCCAAAACTCACTTCTGGATAGAATCAGGTAACTTTACTGCAAGAAGGAAACTTACTTTGTTTTTCTTCTTTCTTTTTTTTTTTTAAACTGTCAAGGAATATAGAGATCAAACATTTGAGCATGAACATTGAGTTGTTACATGTGTTTACACAAGAGAAGGAAAAAGGATAACAAACAGCCAGAGTAGAAGTAGTAGCAGGAAAACATAAACAAGAATAATAGAAGGAAAACTAATGTAATTGGACCAAATCCAAAGCAGCCTACTTGTGTTGGGAAGAAAGGTAGAACTAGTTGACTGTTTCTTTTCTTAAACCAAACTCACTGCCATCAAGTCTTATACCCAACTCCTAGCGACCTCTCCTTGGGTTTCTGAGGTGGTATCACTACTGAAGTAGATTGCCCAGCTTTCCTTCCAAGAAGTGGCTAGTGAGTTTGAACCGCCAGCCTTCTGGTTAGCAGTCAAATGCCTTAGGCACTATGCTACCAGCCTTCTTAATACATAGACTTCATGTGACTCAATTCATGATGGTCTGGTGCTGTTTTTCACCTGCATCTGGGTATCTGGTTATTTCTTCAATAATGCTGTGGCTTAGTGAACAGTAACATGCAATCGCTGAAATAGGTGAATGGAATTCTAGATCTTGAGCAGAAGAAAAGAATAGGTGGAAGCCTGAACACCAAAATACAGAGGTTTCTTTTTATGAACTAAGAAATTTATTCTCAGTGATAGACTAAAATATCTGGACGAATTGGTGGAATCTAAAGAAGTGTCTGGTTTTTGGTGGTGTTTGTCGGTGGTATTCCTGTCTGTGTAACAAATGAAGCTGTTTTTCTTAGAGAAAGAGAATAATTTAACCCTCTCCCCACTTTATTTAAAAGTTTATTTTAAACTTTTCTAACCAGTCACAGAATACAACCATAAGTCTAGATTTATTTATCTAATCTCTGATCGTTTTCTTTTTAAAATGATAGCTTTAGTTTCCCAATAAAAGATGACTAAATTGTCTTCAAATTTCTTTGCAGATGAGGAAGGCAGCCAGGATGAATCTTTAGACTCCAAGGTATGTGCTAAAATTTGCAGTGACCGGTATTTTTTGCCCAATTTAAAACCATGGATTCTGTATCCTAGAAAGAGACAAAGTCTGTATCATGTGAATAACTAATTAAAATTAAAAGAAATATAGTGTTGGCGGACATTGGTCCTATAAGTTTATGTGAATGAGCAGAATTCCCAGGTGTATAGTAGAGCTGACAAGGGGCAAGATTGTGGTCACTGCTTGGTCACAGCCAGCTACCCAGAGGGAACGAGTAGTTGAACCTGTGGGCTTGGGACCATAGTCACAGGGGACATCAAGCTCAATTGGCATAACATACTACACAAAACATTGTTCCACCTCCTACTTTGGTGAGTAGCGACTGGGATCTTAAAAGCTAGCAAGTTGCCATCTAGATGAAACGATGGGTCTCTCCTCATCCAGAGCAAAGAAGAATGAAGAAAACCAAAAAGTCATGGAAACAATTAGTCCTAGCAACTGGTACACCATCCTATCTGCAGCCTATGTGACTATGAGGCCAGAAGAACTAGATGGTGCCCGGCTACCACTGTCATCCACTTGGAAGGGGATCTGTGTAGGAGATCCTTGATAGAGAGGGAGAACAATGTGGAACAAAACTCAAAATCATTTGGAGGGGAAAAAAAAGGGGGGGGGCAGGTTTGCTGGTCCGATAGAGCCTGGTGGAACCACTGAGACTATGGCCCCTAACTGCCCTTCAGATCTGGAATTGAACCCACACCTGTGGTTTCCAGGCAAATGAGTTGAACATTTACCTCAAGTAGATATTCTCCTTGGAGAGAACAATCATGGGAGAAAGAAGGGCTGCTTATGCACAGGGAGACAGCTCAGGGGGCAGGAGTCCATGGAGGGATGGACACAGGGAAGAGGTAACCATGGGGAGGAAGTCGGAGGGGAGCTGTTGCATTGTGGTCAACTGTGGTCAATGTCATGAGACAAAGTATATGTGAACTGCTGTATGGAAAGTGAATTTGCTCTGTAAATGTTCACCCAAATCATAATTAAAAAAAAGAAAAATAATAATAAAAGAAAAATTTAGGTGGTATCAATATTAATTGTGGCTCTTCTTAGGTGAAAAAAATGTTCTGCTCTGCAAGAGAGAAATTTATCTTTGCTTTTCACATATTATTATAATCTTAGAGCCTGAAGAATAGTAAAAGAGGGATACTAAATATTTCTTTCTTGAGTTTTGACTGTTAGGTTTCATTATAAGTCGAATGTGCAGTATAGTTGTATTTGTGTACCTGTGTGTATGTGTATGTGTGTGTGTGTTTAAGAACCTTCAGACAGTAACATTTTTGCTGCCTACTGAAAGATTGATTTTATTCTTATTTTTTTAATTTTTAGATTAACTTTTTAATTTTGAAGTTTTAACTCCATCGTGAGTTGTTTCCATTTATATCAGTTTTGAAATAAAAATTTAGAATAAGAATAAGGCTGATTATGTGTCCAAGGAAACCAGTCTGTCCCCTCCTCTCTGGAATAGAGGGAATATAGATACAAAACAGGAGATTACAGTACAGTGTGGAGCTGTAGAGGAAGGACCTAACCCAGACTTTGGGAGTTAAGGGAGGCTCTGCGGTGCCGAAAGTGACATCTAAATTGAAATCCAAAGAAAGAGTTGGCAGGAAAGGAAGAATATTTTGTGCAGAAGGAGTGAATAACACATGCTAACGCCTATCGAGATGGGCAAATGTGGCATATTCATGGAGCTAAAGGAAACGTTGTATGTGCATTAGTAAAAGTAATGGTCAAGTAGGGTTGAGGGAGTGTTGGTACTGTTAATATCTAAAATTATTCTATATTCCTAGACTTCTTTGCCATCAGATGAGTCGGTAAAGGACCACAGCCCAGCAGGCAGAGTAGTCGCTGGTCAGATATTTCTTGATTCAGAAGAATCGGAATTGGAAACCCCTATTCAAGAAGAGGAAGACCGCCTCAAGGGGCAAGAGGAGGAAAGTGTCACAGAAGAAATGAGTTTTCTAGAATCTCCAAATCCAGAAAACATGGACTATGAAGAAACAAAGAAAGTACGGAAACCAGGTAGTTTGGACATTTCCTTTGCCTTTGCATGATTTAGGAAGAAGACAACTGACATTTTAAAGCTACTGTGCAAAGCATGAAGAAGGCTAGTTTTATGAATTAGTAACCACATATAATATATAGAAAATGTAGTTTTTAGGATTTTCTAGATTCTAATACATCAAAATGATTCACTTAACAGATTTACTTTTTATGGTGTGAGTTATATAAGCTGAGCTCATATAGACAAAAATGCATTTGTATTATGGTATTAGTGTAACTTTTGTTTTAGACTCCATTATGTAAATCCATTTCTGAGAAATTTAAAATGAAATCAGTGTGGAAATTCAGACCGGAAGAATGATCTGATGTGCTGCTTTGTTTATTTGCAGAATTGTGTTAGGGTTTCTGCTGCAATAACCTTTCAGTCATCCTAGGTAATTTGAATCAGGCCTTTATCCCTCTGCAACCTTAATCCTCTTCTAACTTTCACCTTTTTGACAACCTCTACTTTGAAATTTATAACTTAATTTTTCTCACAGTGGAGTGTGCTGATTTAAAACGTATCCTTTTTTAAATTAATCACTAATATGTCCACTTTGCCCTGTCCCACCACCTTTCTGTCATTTAGTTTGTTATTTCAAAAAATCACCACCATGCCCACTTACTATTCCATTATTAGGTGCTCTTGAGAACTAATCCTAATTTAACTTTAAAAAATAAATTTTTTTACTATAAAATACCGTACTCAAAAATGTTGTTGTTATGTGCCATCAAGTCAGCCCCGACTCATACATAACGACCCCTCCTTGGGTTTCCAAGGCAGTATCACTACGGAAGTAGATTGCCCAACCTTCCTTCCGAGGAGTAGCTGGTGGGTTTGAACCATCAGCCTTCTGGTCAGCATTCAAGTGCCTTAAGCACTACACCACCAGAGCTCCCTACTCAAAAATAGAAAAACCAAAAACATTAAAAGTATTTTAATCCCATAAATTTAAAATAACTATTAACATCATGTTGAGTGCTTTTAGGCTTTTTTCTAGATATACAAATAGTTTCTAAGAAGACTAAATTGGGCTGCAATGCATATATTATTTTATAGCCTCCTTTTTTCACTTAACAGCTTACCATGAACAGTTTCCTTGTGGTTTAGTATTCTTTTATGATGGTTATGAAAAATTCCATGTATAAAATATACCATAACTTGTAAATAGGTTATTTATAATATTATTTTGGGATATTGTTTTGGGTATGTCTTTGTGAACATCTGTAGATTTTTTTTTTAATTATTACTGTGATTTGGGTGAAAGTTTACAGAACAGATTGGTTTTCCATTCACCAGTTCATACACATTTTGTTTTGTGACGTTCATTGCAGTTCACACAACTGTAAGAGCACTCTTCCTACTTCTTGCCTGTGTTTACCATTTTCCTTTGTCCTTTCCTATCCCTTCCTGCCTTCTGAGCTCTTGTGATCTTGTATGGTTGACTGCTCTAATGAGTGAGTACCTCCCTGGTGTTATTGTTTACTTTATAGGCTTGGCTATTGTAGGCCTGAAAGTTGAGCTACAAGGGTAAGTTCAGTTCCAGGCTTGAGGGGTATCTAAGGGCCATTGTCTTTGGGGGTTCCATCAGTCTCTATCAGACCAGTAAGCTCAGTCTTTTTATGATTTTGAGTTTTACCCCACATTTTTCTCCTATTCTTTCGAAGACTATCTATTGTGATCCTTTTCAACGGTCAGCAGTGGTAGCTAGGTACCATCTAGTTCTTGTCTCAGGGTCAAAGAGGCTGGGGTTCATTTAGTCCATAGTCCTTTGGACTGATTTTTTTCTTATGTCTTTAATTTTTCTCATTCTTCCTTGCTCTGCATGGGGAGAAGCCAACTGTTGCACCTTAGATGGCCACAAAGAAGCCTGTAAGCCCCCAGTCATTACTCACCAAAGTAGGATTCAGAACATTGTCTGTGTGGCTTATAATATGCCATTTGGTCTTAGTGTCCTCTGAAACTATGGTCCTGAGCTTCCAGGCCCAGCGACTCATTCCCTCAAGGTCTTTGATAAGGGCTAAGAGCTTTTCATAATTTTACCCCCTATCGTCTCTACTATATTCATAGATAGATATATTTGTAGCACATATAAATACATATGTAGAAATAGCCTTAGTTTTTTAATGATTTTTATTTTACTTTTGGTTTCAGTTTGTTTTACTTTATTCCTAAAACATGAAAAGGCTTACACATTTATACATAGGTAGTATGTACTGTAAATTACATACTCCTGGCTCTGTGTAAGTGCAGTCCCAACTACATTAGAACTGGAGTTACATGGCAATTACTTCTACACTTGCACTGTTTTCCTTCTCATTCATGTCACTTCCAGAGAGACTGACATCCTAAAATCCAAGTTGACCCTCTCACTCCCCTGTTTACAGCCCTTCCTTGCCTCCTCTTTTGTCTGTGAAGTGAGTGCACACTCCTTAGCGTGGCGCACAGAGCCTCCATCTCTGGTGTACCAACTGGCATCTGCAACTTCATCTGTGCAACTCTTCCGCAAGTACCCTCTTTCAGCAGTTCTTCAGATACATCATGCAGTTTATAACTCTGGGCCGTTGTACCTATTTTCCCCACTGCTTAGACTGCCTTTCTCACCCCCTCACCCAGATCGATCTATCAATGGCAGTTGAAGACTCTCCTATTCATTAGAGCTTCCTATCTGTTCTCCATACTTTTGCCCTTTCCCCCTAATGTCAGATCTCTGCACAGCAGCGAAATTGATCTTTCTTGTTCGGAAGTCTCTCAGGGCTTCCTATCACTCTCAGAATAATATCTAAACGCCTTACTTTTACTAACGAGGCCTTGCATGATCAGGCCTCTCTCTCTGACTTCATCTCCTGCTGCTCCCCTAACTCATGTGTCTCCAGCCACACTTGCCTTCTTGCTGTTTCTTGAGCATTTCACGCTTATTCCTATCATGTCTGGGGTCCTCATATCAGCGCAGGTTCAGTTCACAAGGAAGATGCATAGGACCCAGCATATACTGATATTCACAGTCACGATTTATTACAGCAAAGGCAAAATGAGCAGAGGGAAAAGGCACATGAGGCAAAGTCCAGAAGAAGCTAGGTGCCAGCTTCCTAGAGACCTTCCAGGAGTCAGGCAGGACCCGCTTAGTTCCCTCTGCAGCAGATTAGGACAGCTAACTAGAAGTGCAGTGTTGTCTAACAGGAAAGCCTGGTAGAGGCTCAGTGCCCAGGGATTTTCGTGGAGGCTGAGTTAAGCACTCGATTACTAACCAGAGAGTTGGCAGTTGGCAATTCAGACCTACCCAGAGGCACCTTGGAAGAGGGGCTTGGTAACCTGCTTCTGAAAGGCCACAGCCTTGAAAACCCTGTGGAGTGCAGTTCCACCATACACATAGGGGTCGCCGTGGGTCAGAATTGACTTGATGGCAATGGGTTTGATTTTTTGGCTTTGGTCACCCCCTGCCTTAGTATTTACCAACATTGCCAACTCCTGGAAAGAAAGCAGGTGTTCACCATAAACCGTGTTTGCACAAACAGCTTAGATACGGTGAGCCACTCTTAATCAGTTCAGGTGGTGGGAATCTGACCAGACACCAGCCAAAGGCCAGCCGTATAAGTAGACCTTTCAAAACTTAGAAGCCAGGCCTGCTGTGTTAACTCCTTGCTGCATAGTTCATCCCCTTGGCCCTTGGCCAAGGCATCTTTACAGCAAAATTATTGATTTGACCCCATACAGCAGGGTAAGACTAGCCTGCAGAATTGATATCAGTTATGCCGTAATAGGGTCCTAGACTTAGCCAGTTAAAACAGGTCCCATTAATCATAAAGTTTTATCTCAGATACCTCAAATAAAAAGAAATAAAAAAAAAAAGATTCCTCAAATAAAAAGAAAACTCGTTGCCGTCAAGTCGATTCTGACTCATAGCCACCCCTCCTTGGGTTTGTGAGGTGGTATCTCTACAGAAGTAGATTGCCCAGTCTTCCTTCCAAGGAGTGGGTAGTGTGTTTGAACCGCCAGCCTTCTGGTTAGCAGTCAGATGTCTTAGGCACTACACCACCTATATTAACCTTTTTTATTTTTTCTGTCTGGCCTGAAGCATCAGTTCAGGCATTATACTGCTCTGACCAGTAAATTAAAACTGACCTGAAAGACTTCCAGGCTGAGGCAGTGCAGTGATAGTCAGTGTACGTACACACGAAGTACAGACCCAGAGAGCATATGTGTTCCCCCTAGAAACAAAGCGTTTATCATTGTTGGGGTTCTGTCTTGCTTCAGGTTTTGGTCTCAGGGACTGTCTGAGGTAGCCAGTTCCAAACAGCTTGCTCATCTATGACACGAGTCCATCTACCTGCTAAGTGTGGACAGCATCTGGAGCTGTTGTACATGGAAAGTGGGGATATGGGGTTTTCCCTTCCTCGGTTGTCAGGAGTCACTGTTTTCCTTCAGCAGTTGTTTTCAGTCATTGCCTTCTCTCATCCAGGCCTTTCATCTGGAAGAGTTGTATGCAAGGGCAAAGGCATTTTCACAGGGAAAAAAAATATGTATATACATCTTTATACAACTCATCCAGAAGAGAATTTTCAAACATTTCCAAAATGGGTTTACATAACCTCCCACTCAGTTTGCTCTGATCATTTCTCCAAAGAGCGGTCTAGGAAAGATCCTTCCTTTCTAAAGACAGTTTCATTTAATAATCACATTGCACTCAAGTGTGTGTATCAAGAGAAAAGTGAGGAAAGCAGAGTCACGCTGTCTGTCCATTGTTGGAAATTGCAACTAATCTGGAAAGCTGGACAATGATTACCAGTGGCATCTGCCCCCAAGGGAGTCAAGAGCCCCATTGATCTGTCAGGAATGGGTGGAGGAATGATAGTCACTGTTACATTTCCTGCTACAACTTGTGGCTTTGGGTGGTAATCATAACTTAAGAATACAGGCAGTCTCTGTGTAAGAGATGCACAGGTGATCAGCAGCTCAATTTCAGATGGTCACATTAGAG